GCTAAGGTACAGTTGAAGTCAGAATTATTAGCCCCCCTGAATTATTAGCGCCCCTGTTTATTTTTTTTCACCAATTTCTGTTTAATGGAGGGAAGATTGTTTCAGCAAATTTCTAAGCATAATATTTCTAATAACGGATTTATTTTATCTTTGACATGATGACAGTAAATAATATTTTACTTGATATTTTTCAAGACCCTTCTATACAGCTTAAAGTGACTTATCAGGTAAATTTAAAGGCTTAACTGTTCATAAGGTGAACTAGTCAGGTTAGGGTAATTAGGCAAGTTATTGTATAATGATGGTTTGTTCTGTAGATTATTGAAAAAAATAGCTCAAAGGGGCTAATAATTTTGTCCCAAAAATTGTTTTTAAAAAATTAATAACTGCTTTTAATCTAGCCGAAATAAAACAAATAAGACTTTCTCCAGAAGAGAAAATGTTATCAGACAAAAAATAAAGTAAAATCAAAAGGGGGCTAATAATTCTGACTTCAACTCTAAATAATTAAAATGTAGGCAACACAAAATGTTTAGACGCATTTGGATTTATTTTATTAGGGATTTCTGATCAGCTAAAGTTCTAATGAAACTTTATGATGATAAAACCCTATTTAAATCTTATTATAAAGTTGCCTTTTTGTATAGATAAAATATAGCTAATACTAAGTAGGCCTACTGTTTTATCCCAAAAAATTCAATAAAAATTATTATTATTATTATTATTATTATTATAAGGCAGGCACATCATTATTATTAGCCCTTTATTATTACTATTACTACTATACTACCCCTATTATTATTATTATTATTATTATTTATTATAAGTCAGGCCCATTAATATTCTTATTAATATTATTATTAATAGTATTAGCTTATTATTATTATTATTATTAGTAGTAGTAGTAGCTTATTCTTCTTCTTATTATTATTATTATCATTATTATTATAAGGCAGGACTATTAATATTCTTATAAATATTATTATTAGTAGTATTAGCTTAATATAATTATTACTTTATTAGTAGCTTAGTATTATTATTATTATTATTAGACTTTCATTATTATTATTAGATTATTCGTATTATTACTTTATTATTACTTTATTATTATTAATATTATTCACTGTTAGACCTTACCAGGGTTTTTTACAGTAGAACACTGGCAACACTGTTGCCAGCCACTCACTGTAAAAGTTTGGTTACAGTAAGTAACTGGCAACAGTGTTGCCAGTTAATTACTGTAACTGAACCATTACAGAGAGTGGCTGGCAACAGTGTTGCCAGTTATTTACTGTAACTGAACCGATACAGGGAGTAGCTGGCAACAGTGTTGCCAGTTAATTACTGTAACAGAGCAGCAGTGGTAACTAACTGGAAACTGTGTACAGTTAATTACTGTATTGCAGTGTTATAAATCACAGCATTATACTGCATACACATTAATAGTATGTCATATATAGTTATTGTAGTGTTACTAAAATTAATCAGTATTCTTAGCTGTTATTTAAAAATAGAAGGCATAACATTTTTCAGACAAGTTAATTTTATCGTTTTGGCACGAAACAAATAAATAACAGAAAAAGTATAACAAAATTAAGAAATCAGCAGATCAGCAGTCACACTAACATTTGAGCAAGCAAAATTCTGTCATACTGCACTGCGAAGTGGAATTAAACAAAGCGAGTAGTGGAATAAAACAAAATAATTAGAGATTGAAAAAGCAAGCCAGAGAGGTCATGTTTTGATATTTGATTGGTATCAAGCAATCCCATGATGTAATTTCTCATGTCAGCGTTCTCCAAGCTTGAACTTTCCAATGCTGCGAATTATGAAATTTGTCGCATGAGCTATCATTCCAGGTCTGCAGTACTCACATGCGTATGAATGGAAGTCTATAGGAAGAAAAGTGCAGTGTGACAGGGACTTTAAGCTGTAACTCTAATTAAACACACCTGATCCAACTAATTAAGGCTTGTTAGAAATCTACAGGTAATGTTGAAGCAGGGTGGGTACTAAACTCTGCTGCCCTGCAGTTCTCCAGGAACTTGGAGTTTGACCCTCATGGTATACAGCAGTGGTGCTCAATCCTGTTCCTGGATATCTACCTTCCTGCAGATTTCAGTTGCTACCCATATCAAACACACCTGCCTGTAATTATCAAGTGGTGTTCAGGTCCTAATTAATTGGTTTAGGTGTGTTTGAAATGAATAGCAACTAAAATCTGCAGGAAGGTAGATCAGCAAATGAACAGCAAAAAACACAACATAATTATTTTAAAGTTTAAAGTTTTAAATAATTAAAAACTGTGTTAAATCTCAATAAAAAGTTTAGTAAGTAATTATAAAAAATAAAGTTGGCAACACCGAAAAACCAAAGGATCCAATCTTTTATTGCTATAATTATCTCATGACAACAAACTTTATTATTGTTTCTAATATAAATTCATAGGTGGAAACATGCTCTGAAAAATACTTAGCAACAAACTCACAACCTGGGACCGGACAGTGGAGCTTTTGTGTGTGGATGGCTCTGTGTATCATGTTTTTGTGATTCCCTGTGATGATGTGCAAATGTTACCTTACTGAGATGAAGGAATTTAATTTTGGCTTAGTTGCCAGAAAGATACATACAACTGTTAGCATCTGTACATTATGGCAGTATGCAATATCCAATAAATACTTAAACAAAAGTAATGTAAGAAGTTATATGAGGAGAGGCTAACTAGCTAACAATGTAGCTTTCAAGTACACAGTTCAAGATAACAACAATATAACTTAAAACACAGCCTTATTTTAGAAACCCTCAAAAACATTTGAACACATTTTACTTACTCATTGTAGATTCTTATTTAAAGCCTAAAACATATCAGACTCTACATCTGAATTGATGGACAGAGAATAGAGCGCACTCAGCAGTAAACAAATCAAACACCTGGCTCCCTTAAAGGGCCAGCATTTTCTGAAAACTATTTCTAACACCTTTGTGTTTAGAATAAGACAGACAGCCTGTGGGAGTGTGTGGTGATGCCTAAATCATTATTTTCTGCCTTTAAAATGCACGTCTATATAAATAGCAACATAAACCATCAGAGAATTTATTGGAATTAATTCTTTGCACTACACAATTTCATACAAAGTCTACTCCTTTCACAGTAAAATAATGTGTTAATAAATAATAAATGTTTTCTTTTATTACAGCAAAACACTGGCTATTTTGCAGTTATTTACTGCACAATCTACAGAGTAACAGTGCAGTTATACTAATTAAACACACCTGATCAAACTAAATCTAAAGGTAGTGTGTTGAAGCAGGGCTGGAACTAAATTCTGCTGGGCTGCGGCCCTCCAGGAGTTTGACATCCTTGGTACATAGCATATTTTCAAAGGAATTGCCTACATTTATCACAATCATGCACATATCATTGAATAAAAACAATAATATACAAACAATATACAAACGTCATCCAAAGCAAAAAAATAAAAAATAAATAAATATTCTGATCCTCATGTTGTTCAAAACCTGTAGTAATAATAATAATAAAAAACAAACAACCTGATTAATACATTTATTTAGGAAAGTCTTTATACTATACTGTTAATGCCATTTTTACCTACTTCATTTGAAGTTTTCCAAACAAATTCATTGAGTCTCTGCGAAAATGTATGTACGTGCTGTTTAACATATTTTTTAAATAACACATTTTTACTAGTTAATTAGCAAAATACTAATATTCAGCTTAAAGTGCAATTTAAAAGCTTAACTATTGGCTAAACTAGGCAAATTAAATTAATTATAGAATAGTAAACAAAGTTATAAAAATGATTGTGATAATTTGGTTGTTCTGTGTGAATATTTTTGCCTTTAAATGCATCTCATCGATATCTTTACCTTTTAATTAGCTCTGTGACTTTGACATTGGTTGACTCCTGATACTCAATGTTAAAAACATAAAAGGAACCAAAGAAAACACAGAGATGGCTGCAGAGAAATTTAGCTTATCATCAATGCATTGTCTTACTTTCCCCTCAATACTGACCATTCACATACCAAAACTGAACTGTATATATATATATATATATATATATATATATATATATATATATATATATATATATATATATATATATATATATATATATATATATAGCAACATAAAGCAGTGCATGGGGTAATAATGGTTGAGCAGTAATTTACCATTTATTATCACAGTAACTATCTGTAATGGGTACATAAAGTAAATTACTGTAATTTATTCTTTGCACTACAAAATTTCATACAAATCCTGCTCCTTTTACAGTAAAATACTGTTTCCTTTTAATACAGCAAAACACTGGCTATTTTACAGTTATTTACTGCATAATCTACAGTAAGGGTTAACAGTGTTATTATAAGACAGACCCATCATTATTATTATTATTAGACTTTTATTATTATTGTTGTTATTATTATTATTAGAATTTCAGGATTATTAGATTATTCTTAATATTACTTTATTATTACTTTATTATTATTATTATAAGACAGGCCCATCATCATCATTATTATTATTATTATTATTATTATAAAATGCTGTATAATGACAGTCGATCTGTAATTTGCCAGTGTCAAACAGCAGAGGACGCCCGCATCCCGAATCAACTGACCGCAGATCAGTCAAACATCCCAGGTTCTGCAATAATCATCGTGCTAATCTCTTCCTGACTGTTCTCTTAATGTCAGGCGGTGAAATGAAGCGCCTATTTATCCTCACACCGGCGCCGCTTACACACACACACACACACACACACACACACACACACACACACACACACGCACACACACACACACCTGTGAAAAACCCACGCACACACAAACGCACATAATCTCGATAATCTCACTGTCAATAGCGCTAATACCTGAAGAGTGACACATTAAACAAGCAAAGACTGGGTCACAAAACAGCTACACCAGTCCAAACACCGGCCACTCTCAGTCAATTACTCAACGCCGAGTTATAATTGAGTCAGCGGACCCGACAAAAACTACACGTGTTGCAGACCAGAAAATAAACGGAGGAATTATGAAATATCTGTCAGAAGAGTAATTCCTCCCAGCTTTGTGGTTTAGGAGTCTCGTGCAGGGTCCTTCACTTCAGAGGAGATGAACCAACAGTGAATCACTGAGGAGAGGAGGAGGAGGAGAAGAGAGGGACTGGGGAAGGAGGAGAGGGGGACAGAACTTTCTCTCAGGCATGTGTATAAAATCACTCCAGTCAGTCAGTCAGTCAGTCAGAGTTTCATCGACAGACACCTGGATTAATCAGAGTCTCCCAGCAGCTGTCAATCATCTCGCGCGCTCACAGTCAGACTTTATATTTGACATCTTTTAATTCACGCGTCAGATATTTGATTTCTCCTGTTTAGTGCGCTCCAGCGGGCGCTATTTAAGTTTGACGAAAACAAAAACTTTAGGAGAGATTCCTAAAACACCGGACAGCGCACAAAATAAAAGAAGTGATTGTGTACAATTCCAAAACTCTGTAAGAGACCTCAAAGAAAGAATAAACGGATAAGAAGGGAAATTGAGGATTTGGTCCAATTAAAATGTGTCCCTGGAAAGGTAAGTGATGACGGCCGACTTTTGCTTTTAAGAGTTAATTTAGATTAATTAATTATTCTTTCTGATTAATTTTTTTACTAATAATCTATTTCTACTATATGAGTTTATTATAAAAATAAAATAATATATTTATTTGTTTATTTTTATTTTAATGATTCATTAATAGGCTATTTTGCTTAGATTTCAATCGTTTATTTAGCGCCGGAAGGAGAACGTTTTCTTACACTTAGGCTATATGACCTTTCTTAAGTCTAAATAGCTATCTGCTTTAAGTGCACTATAAGATTTATCAAAGACAGATTCTCTAAAAACTTTTGAGGCCTATAAGCCAGTGTAGTTAATAAGAACATGCTTTTAAAGCCGTAGTTTAATGAAACGTTCCTATTCATTGCTTTTTTAATAAAATAATCGATTTGTTTATTTGCAAATCACCCCAACAAAAGGTGACGCTGGCGCCAAAACTGAACACGTGTAATGTGATTTTCCGTTAAAGAAGTGTTTTCTGATTTGTTTTTGATTTACTTATTGTCAAATATTTACTTGTTGTCAAAGAAATGATACAATTTATTAAATTAAATATAAAACAACCATGATTTTACTACAAATAAATCCAAAAAATGTAGTTATTGTACAGTGTAAAAATTATATGATCATCATCAGTCATGACAACATATGTCAATTAGTTCTTTGTAACTTAATAAGCTGAGTAAATCAAGTTCTAAATTAATTTTATAAATTACACAAGCTTAAGTTTTAAGTCAGTTTAACATAGCCTAATATAAGTTCAATGGACTCATAGGGTTAATTTGATAAAGCTTAAAAAATGAAGGCAACCATGATTATTTACTGTGTAGTAATAGAACCCATAAACAACCACTACATCAACCACACTTTAACTAGGATGTTAGTAAAATGTGGTTATACAATAGTAGCCAAAACATGATTGCTACACTATAATAAAACCATGATCAATGTTCAAAGGAGGTGCTATTACTGACATGGAGGGGATGACAAATGTGACGAAATGTAAAAGTACAAAATGCTCTGTTCCACACAATTGATTTGTGCTCAGGCAACATGAAGGAATTAAGTTAACTTACTAATATTTACGAATTAATGTAAATTGAACATAAAACAAGTAAGTAGACCCCAAAAACCTCAAGATTTGTGTTGTTTCAGATAATTTCAAATAAGTAGTTTAAACTAACAGTAAACATCATTATTTTAGTATATAGGCCTAATTTCAGTTACATATATTCATTTAGCCGATGAATTTTATCCAAATATTTATAAATGAGTATAAATTAAGCACTTCAAATCACTAGAGAGCAGTTGTGTCTGTGACGTAAGTTGGCATTTTTTTAAATATTTATACAAAGAAAAGGGTTGTTTTACATAAAACTACACTGTAAAAAACTCTGGGTTCCACATATTAAAAGGAATTAAGTTAACTTATTACTTTTTACAAATTTAAGTGCATTGAACATGAAGCAATTAAGTTGTCCAAAAAAAATCTCAATAATTGTGTTATTTCAGCTCATTTTAAATAAATAGTTTAAACAAACAGGATTGTTTTCTGTAGTTTCTTTTCTGTATAATAATTTTAAGTAGTTTAAACAAACAAACTTGTTTCAATAACAATGTATTTTATTAAAAAAAAACATTTTTCCTCAGCAGAGATCTCACAGACGTTTAATTCAAAGATTGTCAGCTTTTCTAAACTCAAACCCCAACTCTCACGCAAACCTGATGATTAAAAACTGGTGATTTATGAGCTTTTCAAATTGAAGACTTCTTCAAAAGTCCTCACAAGTTCATTTTCCTCATGTTTCACTATCTGAGGCTATTTTCATAAATCTGTTCCTCACAAACCTGCACACACACACACACACACACACACACACACACTTGGACACATTACGCACATTATGCTTCTATTCTAGTTCTCAAGTGCGTGAGGTTCATAGGGCAAGCTCACCCTGTCTTGTTAACAGACACTGATATGAGAAAGTACATGATTCATGTTAGTCAGGGTCCAAACACACAAACCCACACACATACACACCACCTGTCTTCAGGGAGCCCTGTCTGTGAAAAGGAGGAAGAGTGTGTGACGAAATGATGCGATTTACGCCTGAACAAAGCAGCAAAGCATTCTGTCACGGTCCCACACACACACACACACACACACACACATACAGTCTCTTTTTCCACTTCATTTTGTCCCACATGCATGCTTTTCCCCTACAATGCATCTATCATACACAACCCAAACTGCCAAATACACTCACACAAATGGTCTGAGAAAAAAAAAGCCTCAACCATTAACATGTCACATTGTGCCCCACGTATTTGCATTTTAATCCACGCAAAGATGCAGACAAGACAGTCGGTTTAGGGGAAAAGAGAGAGAGAGTGTGTATGTGTGGTGGATTTAAGTGAGGCAGAGGGATGAAGAGCTTCAGGAAGTGCAGGGCTTAAGGAGAAAGAGAGAGATGGAGTGATGGAGGAAAGGAAAGAGGGTTAACGCAGCCCAGATTCCCTCTAAAAGAAGAAGGAGAGAGAGCGAGAGCACAGGGGAATGATATAAAATGAGTTGGTCACGGTTTGAACAGTTACACATGCTGTTTACATTTTTCCCAAATTAACATGGCCCCTCGCTTCACCAAGCCTCTTTCTCTCTCTCCCACTTCTTTCTTTCTTTATTTCTTTTTTTCTTTCTTTCTTTCTTTCTTTCTTTCTCAAACTTTTCGAGTTCAATATTTGATTCTCCAGATCGGACGTTGCTCTTCATTTTGTCATATTTATTTTCAAGAGCGGTTCATTTTCGGTCTTCATTAAATGAGAAACTTGAGTCAGAAAGATGGGGAAACGGCGAGGGGGAGGGAAGAGATAATTAAAAAAAGCAAAAGAAAAAAAAAGGAAGGTAATTATAGAGGTGGAAAGATACCGTGGACCAAAAAAGGGCATGGGAAGAAAGATCAGAGATGGAGAACGTGTGAGGAAAGTTCATGGAAACAGGTTTTATTATCCGTTCCTGCTTTGTTCTGAAGGTCTTTGGCAAAGTCCAGCACATTTCAGGCCAACTTCCATCAATTTAAATTTCAAACTAAGCATCCAGGGGAGATTGAGGAGTGTACGTCCTCTTGTAAGGGATCACGGGGAGCAAGTGTGCGAATGAGTGAGTGATGTATCTCGAAGCTATCCACATCCATCATGTGTGTATTATATTCTAACATCCATTTGTGTGTGTATGAGTGTGTGTGTCTAGTCAGTGGAGGAATGCACGTTTGATTGAGTACAGACTGCACATAAATCTCTACTTTAACTGTACACAGACACACAACATGACCCTGACCCTTTTCGCAAACACACACACACAAGCTCATGAATATGGAAGACTATAGGCTCTTTGTGCGCTGAACTGACCAGCCCATCATATGGGCAATATAACTTTATATGATGTGATAGGAGGGAACATGTTTTATGATATTGCACCATAATGCCGAATTCTTGGTATTGTTGACTGGAGCCTCTAAGAGTCGTCTGTTTAGTGTTAACACAGAGGCAACAAATCAGTCAGAAGATGGAAGGCGAGAGGCTACGTGTGCATGTGTGTGAGACAGAGAGAAAGACAGACTGATATACCGATTTGACATCATATCATTGCTGCCAGCTGTAGGCTTCATGCAGGCAAACACACACACACACACACACACACACACACACACACACACACACACACACAAACACACACACACACACACACACACACACACACACACACACACACACACACACACACACACACACACACACACACACACACACTCACACACACACACACACACACACACACACACACACACACACACACACACACACACACAGATCTGTCCTATAAGGAAAGCTGTTGCTATTTAATAAAGTCGTGAGGGATTTGTTTCAGGGGTTATGTAAATATGCCAGTACTCTGTTTTAGTACAGTACATCCAAGTAAACAGTAAGGGAGAACAACATTCTTCATGAGCTTCTCAATAATATCCATTGTGCTGTGAGAAAAGCTTTCAATTTAACAGAGAGGCTGAATGTTTGCAAAGACGCAGCAACTGATGATAGTATCTTTAAAATGAAACATCGATAATATAAAGTCAAATTGTGGTCTTTTGTTTTTGTGTTAGAAATCTGAATGATTATTTTTGCCCATGCAGGGACAATAAATGGCAGCTTTTGTATGGAAAAAAATAATTTATTTGTAAAATGTAAAAAAATAGATTTCCTAAGATTGCCTTTATATTTAATAATCCACTTTTATTTTATTTACATTTTTTATAGTGTGTGGCAGAAGAAGAGAGATATCTTCAATAAAATAATTGTACTTTAGGTCACACTTTATATTGATGGTCCATTTGTTGAATTTAAGTTACATTGCAACTAATTCTTAGATTATAAGTAGACTGTTAGGTTAGGGTTAGTTTTAGGGTTAGTGTAAGTTGACATGTACTTACAATTAAAATAAAAAAAATAAAAGGATTTCTCTCTGTGACTTCATTAAATAACTGTTTTGGTCCCCTCAAGAACCATTGAGTTAACTGTTCTTAAGAAGCTTTTTTTTTAATAGTGTGAAAACAAATTGAAGGTTTTAGTTTCACTAATAATAATAATAATTGTCTTTTATTTGCATCTTTCATTCTACAGTGAATATGTTTTACATTATATTAAAGAATATTATAATTCAATTAATTATTTTCTTTTTTGGCTTAGTCCCTTTATTAATCCAGGGTCGTCACAGCGGAATGAACCGCCAACTTATCCGGCAGGTTTTTAGACAGTGGATGGCCTTCCAGCCGCAACCCATCTCTGGGAAAGAATATTAATAAATTAAAATAAAATATTCAAATATTAAAAGAGTATTACAATATCGTTTACACACATAAAAGTAACTCAATGAAAAACTGTTTACTGAAGGGTTTTTTGAGAACACACAAGTATTTTTATGG